ATTAAGTTTCACTACAGCATTCTTGCTGAGAATTCTATCAAGGCAGCTGTCAAAAACTACAAGGAGAAACATGGGAAATCTACAGTCAGTCCACGGGCTCCAAATGCTTGATTTTTTGTCGTTAGTAAAAAAAAGACAATGGAAATTGTTGTGTGGAAAAATATGCGTTGACACGTCGGATGACGACCATGCTCCATGTGGCCCTATACTTGCCACGTCAGGTAGCTGTCGATGCCTAAAACTCATTTCCCCCTCCATCATCTGGTGAAAATGCCGATCGTATGAGACGATTCATGAGACCGTCGACCCTACATACAATTGACGCCTGCATGATTTGTTCGCAGGAGGAGCGGTACTGTGATGGGGTCGACCGAGACAAAGGCCGTGCCCTGTGAAGTATAGTGTAGGCGCAGAGGGCATAACGCATGAGTATGGGTCCACGTCCCAAGAAAGACCTCTGAGGTGACAAGGGAGAAATCACTAGTTTACGTCTGGGTTTGGAGAATGTCAGTAGCACATGAAATGATTACCTACCTACAAACCGCCTAGAACGGACCAACAGAAATCACAGAGGATCCGCAGAGCCGCAATAGTGGACAAAGTGGGTGAGTGAACAGTCCAAAAGGTGTTGAGAGGCTACAGTCTAGGCAAGTAGAATAATAGGCTACTTGAGAAAAACCATTATAAAACCCCCTGGGACAATCCGACCCAAAAGATACCCATATGTAATCTGCAAGCTATAAAAGGGGCAAAGCCCCAGAGAGAAAGAGAGGGTCTTTTTGTAACCTTTGAAGAACAAAGAAAAATACAATAAGCAATGGATGTAGCTCTTTTTTTATAGAGTGAACCACTATAAATTCGCATGTCTTTCTACTTTCATTTTGAATGATAAACCGATACATCTTTCAGTATACCTCAAAAACAAACACAATCAGTTGTATAAATTTGAGAATATAATTAGTTTTGGTCAGTAACCTAACGGACTACCGAGAGGTAATCCGGCGTAATTTTGTTGGCGAAATTCCACCGTCAACAGAAATGTATGGTGTTGGATATAGTTTCTACCTATAAGTTACCTAGTACTTTTCTCATTTTTTCACTTTTTTTTTTCTTTTCTGGAAGTACCTAGTATTTACAATAAGGCTTGTGATTTGTTAGGCCTTTCTGAGTAGGCTCTCTTGGATTATAAATGAGATTTTATATAGAGAAATAGTAGAAAATATGCCAATATGAAAAGTTTAAGAAAGTATATAGGCCAATTTTTAGTTATAGAAATTAATAGGTCATAACTTGTCAAATTATGGTTCATAATTAGATAAGTTATGGACAAACTTGTCAAGTTATGGTTCATAACCAGACAAGTTATAGACAATTATGGACAATAACTTGTCAAGTTATGGTTCATAACCAGACAAATTATGGACAAAAACAGTAATTTAGTTTATTTATTAACTTATGTAAACTATTGGTCTATTAATTTTAATTCATCTCAAGTTTTAGCATATTTCCCTCATTCTCCCTTTTATATATTAAGTTAGAAATGTTTTGGGATTTTATTTTGTCCATTATCCATTTGAAATCGACGGATTTGGTTTCTTTTGAGGGCCGGGGGGACATAAAATGCAAAGGGTTTGCTATGGAATTTGCAAAAGCGGTATTGGAGTTGAGATATATGTGAGTAGCAGATCTCTTTTTAATGGTTCAAGCTTTGCAGGATTTAAAACGAATGAATATGAGATAATTAAACATGTTTCTCTACTTTAATGTTTATTTTTAATTCCTTTTGATATTTTTTCAAAAACATGAATAATTTATCATCACTCCAAAATAGTGTCTAAACACTACAACAAATATCATTATCAATAGCTAACCTAAAACTCTATTAAGCACTACCAATAGCGTTTTGTGGAGCGTTAGGACATCGGACGCTATTAAAAGTCATACGAAAACATAACGTTCTGAGAACGATATGAGAAACGTTACAGAATTGAGGTCTTATAACGTTTTGGACATGTTATTTTCAGCCTCTTACAGCTATTTGGCGTTATTACAGTACAAATCTGTAGCTTTTCTCCCTTGTTATGTTCATACTCTTGTAGCTTTTTAAAATTGTTATTGAATATTTTACCAATAGTAAAAGTAATACACACTAACGTCCTATCTACTTTTATTATGTTAATATCCTTTTAAATTCATTCAAATAGATGGTGATTCCGAGTAACATCTTACATTCAAATAAGAACATTCAAATTAAAACATAAAAACATTCAATTTAATAATTGTTATCAGTATCTACAAAGTTGGCAATAAGATGTTTACAACACAAGTCACACAATTTGTTCACAACTTTAACATTAAAAATAAGTAACGAATACAGAGAAATAGCTAGAGATATCGAAGAATCCAAAATGTGTAGCCCAATGAAATGGTTAAGTAAATAATCCATCTTGACAATATGAAAAAAATAGTTAGACATCATTTAGGACACTTAAAATTAGTGTAAAAAAAAAACATATGACATCGACATTGACTATCAATTCTTTCTTTTTTAACCATATAGTGAGAAAAGAGAAAAACGAAAAGGTAGAGGGAATAAAGGATGTTGACTTGCCGTGTAAAAATTGCTCCACACCTTAGAATTTACATGAATTGAACAAAATTACATTATAATTTTACATAAATTTTGCAATTCAAATTTCAGATATTAAATGAGGTTTAAAAGTAATTTTCTTTCATCAATTTTAGATAAATTATACCAAAAATAAAGCTATCAAACGGGGAAAAAAAAAAAAGAAAAAGAGATGAAAATCTTACAATCATTATCTCGCTTTCACACAAAAGAAGGAAATAAACCACAAAAAAAAAAAACAGCAAAAGTCCGTTTTAGGGGAGAGACAATCACCAACACACCAAAAAGGAAAATATCATGCCACAAATAAGGGGGAAAGCAACATCGCCATCTAATCAACGCATAGACGCCACACGTGACTCAATGTGGCTGGCCAAATCCCTTATGATACACCAGATTTGGCTCGGTTATTGATAGAGTGAATAAATCTGTCATTTTTTGAAATCTCTCTTCTGATTCTAAATCGTGGTGTTATGTGTACCCTCCTGTTCCAGTCATGGAATAGATGAAATAAATTAAAAAATAGACCCGTTTAGTTCGATGATTCGAATTTTTAATTCGAGTTGAGATGTGATTTTATGTGAGAGTTTTTTACTGTAGAAAAAAGTTATATGTGACTATTTTTTAGAACTTTTTACTGTAGCAAAACTCGAATCGGTAAAATGAGCGGGGCCTCAGTACATAAGATGCACCGCATCACTCAGAATGAGACCTCAAGAGAGTAGGAAACCTAGAAAAGCGACGAACTTAGAACACCAGCCAAAAATAGCTATCATACCTACCCCATTCCATCTTTGATTAGCGCATGTGTCTCGCAGCAACAAAAACCTCCCCTACCAGCATCTCCGCTTAATTATTCCGAGTTTGTGGATGAAAACACAAGGTTGGCAGCCCATTGACGCGTCCAAAACAATGTCGAGACTCTGGTGAGACACTCCTTTTCTCTCTCTGAATTTTCTTTACGGCCGGCTCACTTCTAGCCTCTAAGTGAATAATACCGGAAATTGAAAATTAGACCAAGTTACATAATACCGCAAAGAATTGGACACTTTGTCTGCAATTATTTCCAAACCTGCTGGCGGATATCCAATAATTCGCCTTAGCCTAACAGTTAACATGAAGTCATAAGCCATAACGTGCAAGACACGCACTCGGTCCGGTAACAGTTCCTTAGATGCGTCGTATAAGATACTGTTTATGTGCTTGCAACTAAATAAAGCAAGATACGTTTTATGTGTCCTATGGTTTCTTGTTTTAGCCCAAAAATAAAAAGACTATAAAAAGCAAGATTCCAGGGGAAAAAAAATAAAATAAATAGAGCAAGAGAAAGATTAGGATAAAAATAAAAATAAAAAAGAGGATGAGAAAAACTAAATAAATAAAGGCAAAAAAGAACTAAAAATAAAGCAACAAATACCACTTCCACAAGGCAAGCAAAAGGGCATTTGTCATCACTTCCAAATAAGACCCAAAAGCAAGTAGATAGAGAACAAACCGAATCTCTAGTTTCTCTTTCTTTTTCTTTTTTTTTTTTAATAAATTTGCTGCGTTTCAGAAAAATACAATGACAACATCATACAATCAACAAAATCGTTTTTTTTTCAGCAAAAGCAACAAAATCGTTTCTAGTGCCACATCTGCTTCTTGCATTTTGTGATTAAAAACCCAATAAAAAAGGAAAATTTTGAGCTAATATTCATACTTATTATATCCAAATTTATAGATATATAATATTATATGGGTGTAACAAGTATGGTTTTGAACTAAAGATCACAATAAAACCATAGTAGATTATCAAAAATATGACAAGTTAATGGAAGTTCGATGGTTGAAAACTATATCTTAGTAATAGGATATCTAACTTTCCTGTTAAAATGAACTCTTTTCTAACACACACATAATAAAGTTTTGTTTTTAATCAATATTGTAATAGACTTTAAAAAAGCGCATAACAGTGATGGAAGGATAGAGAGAAATATATGGTTTATCATGGTTTTGTATGTTATTCTAAATAATTGAGTGCCATAATAACCTTTTGTTTATTCTTTATTAATTGAATGATAATTGCTTATTTTTTAATGTAGTGATATAAATAATAGTTTTTACTATATTTCTACTGGTATTTTTTATTTTTTTCTTTAAATACTGTAGCAAAAAGATTTAAATAACATTTTAAATTCATGAACCGAATGAAACAGGTTTGGCACACTCAAGCTAGAGGCAGACGCATGGTTACTTCCGGATTATGCCTGAAATCTGTTTATTTTTATTTTTATTTTTATTTTTTATTTTTTATTTATTTTGGCTGAATCCTTAACGCTATTTTATAAGTCCAAAAATCAGCTTCCGATTCCTTGCAAGGCAACACTAACTGCCCTTTACATCTACTCATCAAATCCCACTATTATTTCCAACTTTCCGATCCCACAATTTATAAACACAAATTAATATATCCCTTTATAACAAACACGCCAAAACACACCGATCAAAAGAGATTAGCCGAAACGCAAATTCTGCACTGTCATGGAGATCAAAGTGGAATCATCAAAATCTCAGATTCATCGTCAAAACCACGTCAAAGAACAGAACACGAAAATCCCTCTCTTGATCAAAGATGATCACGTTCCCAAAGAACAATCAGAACCCGTAGACCAGAAAACGCTCGTCCAAAAAGCCATCAGCCAAACCTTCCAGAGCACGGCCCACTTGGCCAACCTGCTACCGACCGGGACCGTCCTCGCCTTCCAGCTCCTCGCCCCGATCTTCTCCAACCTAGGCCAGTGCGACCCGGTAAGCCGGTTGATGACCGCCGGCCTCGTCGTTCTCTGCGGAGCCTCGGCGTTTCTGGTCAGCTTCACCGACAGCTTCAGGGACAAGAACGGAAACGTATGTTACGGCGTCGCCACGCTCACTGGCCTTTGGGTCATCGACGGCTCCGCCAAGCTACCGAATGAAGAAGCCGACAAGTACCGGCTTCGGTTTATAGATCTTGTGCACGCTTTCATGTCGGTTTTTCTGTTCTTGGCGATTGCGTTGTTTGATCAGAATGTCGTGAGCTGCTTCTATCCGACGCCGTCCGATGAAGCGCAGGAGGTCCTCACCGCGTTGCCGGTCGGGATTGGCGTGATGTGCAGTTTGTTGTTTGTTGTGTTCCCGACGAAACGGCATGGGATCGGATTTCCTCTCTCTGCGAATTGATCATCCATGTACGCCGTATATAATATTTGTAACGTACGTACGTACTTGCTGTTTTTCTTGGTGATTAATATATATGGTGTTCCTGTCATATGTTATTATTTTTCTCAAATTCGTTGGTTGGTAAATCAGTATGATCATTTAAATAATTGCAAGAACCCATCCATGTGAGGAAAGGACAACGGGCAGATTACAGAAGAAAATCAGTGATACTTTTGGGGCCTCTTGTCTCAAAATGGTCCCGTGTTGGGTATTTCCCACTCAAAAATAATTTCACCGTGAATAATATAAGTGAATAGTATCGTATAAGTAAATAGTATTATATATATAAATAGTACTATATAGATGAATAATATTATACGCAGTGGACAAATTCGACAGAATGACTATTGAATACTGAACATAAATAAAAGAACACCATAATTGATAACGGAGTTCGGCCAAATATTGCCTACATCTCCGGACAATATGAACCACTCTATTTTCTAAAGAGAAGAAAGATTACAAGTTGGGCAGAAATTACAAAAGCCCAAAAATTAGAAATCTAAAGAATTTTTTACAAATTTACAAAGGGGAGAAGCTCTCAGTTTGGGATGCAAAACAAATTAGGGGAGGCATGTATTTCTAGCATATGCCTCCCCCTCTTCTACGTGTGAACCAGCTCTAAACAACTGAGTTCACTTCCGAAAGTTATCACCATTTTCAGTGATCTCTCTTCTTCTTCTCCCTCTCACTTTCTCTTTTGATGCAGCCCAATTTTTTTGATAACTGAGCCACCCAAATTGACTAACATCCTAGACTTTAAGATTTCGAGGTATGAGAAAATTACATATTATACTTTTTTAAATACCTCACTTACTTAAAGTATCCCTTTAAAAAAACTTTACCCCTTGACTAGTTATAGTTTAAATTGAAATATATTAACTAATATTAAGGGTAGAAATAAAAGAGTGCTTCATTTCACAGAGTATTTTTTAAAAATGGCCGATCACTTTTAAGTTTTTAATAAATTGGTTTCCGATCTATTTTTATATGGACAAATGTTTTGATTTAATTTTAAGTTAATTTCAATTTTTTCCCTCGAAAATACTCGTTGTCTCATTATACCACTTAAACTTTCAAATGTCACAAGCACCTGAACTTTACAAATGTCACACTATCGATCCCTTAATATCCGTTACAGTTTTGTTAAAAAAATGAATAAAATGAGCAAGTAAGATGCACATTATACAATTGGAATTGTTCAAAACATTATTGATAATTCCTAGCTTGGCTTGAATCATCAAATGCAATAATTTAAGAAAGACCACTAGATGGTAAAACTTCAAACCTTTGGCTGAAATTTAGTAAAATTTTCAAAATGTCACAAATAGAGTAAAAAATGATATAGTGATTATCATAGAGTAAAAAATTTAGTAAAAATTTTATAATTTATAATGACTATGCCCTTATTTCAATAATGTAAAAATTTTGCTATTCTGGTAGTATTTTTAAAATTTTGCTATATTTAAACTCTGCAATTTGTGTTTTCCTATATATGTAAAGAACCCCACCAAAACAAAGAAATTTAAAGCCATGCAAAAGATAATGAGAATTTTTTTTTTTTTTTAAAGTGACAAGCAAAGAAATTTCTAACATGTTCGCTGAGGGAGTAGCGACAACTAGCAGCAAAAAACTACCGACAGTGGTTAGAAGATGATGGTTGCTGACAGAAGGCGGAAACGGTTGGTGATTATTCGAGAGACGACTCCAAGATAAATGCTTGGCGATGAAGACAGAAACAATAACGATAAGGCTTGGTGGCAGAAAGCTGGCGATGGCAGTTAGAGGACGATGGTTGGCCGCAGAAGAAGGTAATGACAAAAATTGAAGAATAAATGAGATGCTTTGAATAATGATTGGAAACTTTGGAATGAACTTATTGGTAAAAAAATTGGTCTAGGTTGAAACATTAAGAAGAATACTATTGATGCATCTGAGGAGTGGTGGCATAATAAATTACAGGTATACAGAATTATGTGGTTTGTCATTGTTTATTCTAGTGTTGGACTAGGCATGTTTAATTTATTCAAGTGCTCTTGCAGATTTATCCCAACGCATCGAGATTTTACACTCGGGGAATTAAACCACAGTTAGAAGAAAAGTTAAATAGGATGTTCATGAATACTGTGGCCACAGGAGTGCATTCTTGGACACCATCATCTGGACAGGTGCCATGTAAGGCTGATAAAGTTGGAAATGATATTTCTACTCTACCTGAACAACTTGAGAGTAGTGGTGAGTCAGGTGAACCAATCCGAAGTGAATTGGCACAAGACTGTAAGAATAAGAGGCCAATTGAGACAGATGAGAGACAAAAGAAAGTCAAGAAAGGAAAAGGAAACGTGAAGGTTGGGGGAGCTGCTAAATTGTCTCAACAAATTGATTGCCTTATCGATATAGTTGAGAGTAGAAGTACTGGATCATCGATTGCGCAATCTGACGCTGGAAACTATAGCATAACAAAAGTTATTGAAGTTCTAGATTCATTACCAGGATTACAGACTGGAAGCGAGTTGTATGTCTTTTCGGTCCACTTGTTGTTAGACAAGAATAAGAGATAGGCATTTATGGCTTTTAAGGAACTTGAGTTGAAGCTCAATTGGCTTAAGTTTGAACATGGGCTAGGATCCTCCACTTAGATTTCCATTCCTTATTTCTTTTTAGTGCGGTTTTCTTGTTGTATTGATGGTTGAGACATTGTTATTCTCTTTCAGTTTGGTCTTCTTGTTGTTTTCTTTCAGTGTGGTTTTCTTGCTTTATGTTTAAGACATTGTTGTACAATGACATTTTGCATTACTATTTGTATGTGAGTTTCATTGTTTTTATTGCACCATATTGAATGACAGGTTTATTGTTGTTCCTAAAAATGGCTGACAATGATGATGAGTTCGATCTACAATCTTTATGTATCATTGCTCAACTCATTGAATATTACTACAACACGTATGTTCATAAGAATCCGTGTATGAACTCTTCACAAACTGGAAACATGTTGTGACAAAATTATTAAGAGGGCATGAAATTAGAAGTTATAGGATGTTTAGAATGGATAAGAACGTGTTTTTGAAGCTATGTAATGATCTACAGAGTAACTACAGGTTACAGGGATCAAGGAATATGTGTGCGACTGAAATGCTTGGAATGTTTTTATTCATTTTGGGTTAGGGTGCGGAGAATCGTTCAGCACAAGAGCGATTTCAACACTTTGGTGAGACTGTAAGTAGATATTTTAATTATGTTTTAGAAATTGTATGTCGAATGAGCATCGATATTATACAGCCTCCAGATCTAGAGTTTAATGACATGCCATCAGCGATATTTACTTTTAATATGCTTCATTCCTTACTAAAATCATACTTTTTATATGCTTCATTCCCTACTAAAATTATGTTTATTTATACATTAAAAATTCTTCTTTTTATAATTGTATTTGTGCAATAGATCGCGTACATGTTCTAGCTACAATACTACCAGAAGATCAGGTGCCATTTATCAGAAGAAAGCGTGTTCCAACCCAAAATGTGATGGCTGCTTGTTATTTTAGTATGAAATTTATATATGCATATGCAAGTTGGGAAGGTAGTGCCCATGATACAAGAATATTCTTATCAGCACTATGTAACTGACATTTGAAATTTTCAAAACCACCTGAAGGTTAAAACATTGTCTATATTTTATATTATATATGTTTTACATTTTACTAATTCTTGTGTTTTTATTTTAATAAGTAAATATTATTTGGTTGACGCGGGCTATCCACAATTAAAAGGATTTATTGGACCTTATAAAGGATAACGATACTATTTACCACAATTTTGAATGGGTCGTCAACCAACAGGCAGTTTAGAGGTATTTAGCCAAGCACATTCTTTTTTTTGAAGTGTCATTGAACGCACTTTTGGTGTTTGGAAGAAAAAACGGAAAATTTTGAGAGACATGCCTAATTATTCATTTAAGAAGCAAGTAAAAATAGTTATTGCAACAATAACGCTTCATAACTATATTAGGATGCATGATAAGCGTGATCGATATTTTCAAGAAGTCGGGGATAATCTAGATGTTTTCGCTTATGAAGAGCATCAACTGAAGGACAATGTAAAAGAAGATGAAGCTTCACTATCACAAGAAATGGTTGAAGTACGAGATCAAATTGTGACAAGTTTAATGAACACGACTTTTAATTCTTTTAATGACTGTCAGTTTTTTTAACATGGAACGTATTTTTTTGTTCAACAAATTGATTACTCACTAATGCTCATTTTAGTTATAACTATATTGTGAATGAAGAAATGAAAAAAAGATTAATTATTATAAATTTATTGTTAAAAAATTCAAAATCATATCATTATGTTTTTTTTAAAATAAATAAATATTTCTAAATACCAAAAATAATTATATATATTTAAATTTCATATCATGTCTATTTTGGTCATTTTACAGATCTACAGCAATTCAACATTAAAATTTATCAAACGTTATTATGCTGATTTTAAAATCAGCACAGCTACTATAATTACAATTTACCAAATACTAAATGCTTCTTATAACCTTTAAGACAACCAAAAATAATTTTTTTAAAATTCACGGCACTACTAAACTAAGAGCCCGTTTGGTTCATAGATTAGAACCATAAGATTAGAATTATTTTTAATTTACGTGTATTTTTAAAAAAAAAATATTATAACAAATTATGAACCATGATAACGAATCTTCTAACTAAACAGGTCTAAGCCACTAAGGTTTTCCTAGAAACCATCATCGTTTTTGAGTCGTGTGAATACAGGTGAGCATCTCTTATATTATAACAAATTATGAACCATGATAACGAATCTTCTAACTAAACAGGTCTAAGCCACTAAGGTTTTCTAGAAACCATCATCGTTTTTGAGTCGTGTGAATACAGGTGAGCATCTCTGACTCAAAAACATCAATGATGGTGTGAGGTTTCTTGGAAAGCTAACTTTACTTTGCCAAAAACGATGAAACCCCTTGGGACGGTGAGGCTCCATGAAGACGACAACGCACACGGGAAGATTTGGAAATTTGTTCGAAAAAAGGCTCTTCTTTGACAATCTTAGAACAATTTTCCATTTAATGCATCTATTTAAGAAACCTGTACATCTCCTATAATTTATATTTAATCTTGAGACTTAAAATATAACATTGCAATGTAATTTGTGTTAAAAAGAGGAGTTCATTTTAATTTCATATATATCATGTAGTCATATGAAATCAAAAGGTTCAACTTAAAAAACGGACAAAAGCTTCCGTCTTTATATTGTTAATAAAAGAGAAAAAAATAAATAAGGAGAGGCCTTTTATATGTGAGCAACTACAGATCTGCAATAAGAGATATCATATATGGTCTCGTTTACTTCGTTAATTTGAGTTTAAAATTTAAATTTTTCTATAATAAAAAGCTCTCATAAACAATCACATCTAACTTTTTTACTACAGTAAAAAGTTCTCACATAAAGTCACATCTCAACTCGAATTTTAAACTTGAATCAGCGAAGTGAACAAGATCTATATTTAAAGCTTGAGAAGCAGCAACCATGGCTTGCATCTGCATTTTAATCGGCATATTTGTGTTAAGCTTTTCCTTCCAACCACCGTAACGTCCTCCACAAAAGAAGTAGGTGTTTCCGCTACCATCGTTGGCTTCTGGGCTTCCTCCATCACGTTGAAAAGATGGGTTTTTTTTGGAGAAGGAGATTTGAGTGCATTGAGCCCCATGAATATTTGCATATGTTGGGAAGCAGCAGATGATGGGGCGAAAGATAGAGACAAGATTGAGCATTTAGGGTTTTGTGATTTTTTTTTTTATTGTTTGTTTGGAAAATGACCATCAGATGCCCTTGAGAAAAGTCACGCGCAAATCACGTGACAAAATCCGTTTAATATTTAACAGACGTGAGTAAAATGACCATCAATATAACGGATTTATAAGTAAAAGGGTTGATTGTACAAATTTTTAATTTAAGGACTGATTTGCCAAACACGATAAGTTTAAGGGGTAACCATGCAAAAAGCCTCAATCCCGTGACAAACAGTTGGGACTGTAAAATATTCAAAGTTTAAACTGATGTTATTTACAGTTGAGGGCCTTGAGGTTGTAATAACTCTTCACCGTTCCACCATCACAAAATATAAGAAGAAGGAAGCGAAAAATTGGAAAGCAAAGGAAAGGAAAACGATAAGGGATTTTTTGGAAGCCATCCAATTAAGCAGAGGTGATTGGACAACACAGTCCCCTTCTTCTTAAGCCTCTCGCTGGGGATAAGATGGGCCCCACTTTACCCGCCTCCCAAATCGCAATATCCGCCTCTCCCCTCCCTCCTAAAATCCATCCACCAGCTCGCCAATAATCCCCTCCCTACCATCACTCCTCCCAACCGTAGACCATCACAATCCCCACCGTTGAATTAATTTACTGATTATATCACCAGAGCTGTACTTCAAATTATACATCTCATGGCGATTGTACATTCTTAGCATGCGTTGAATCTTACGAGAACCAGAACTAACAAATAAAAACAAAGCAATTAACGTACGGAAACGGTTCACAATACTGTGGCCAAAGGCCATTACGTTGTGTCCATAAGAACTGAGTGTAGCTTCCAAGACCACAATTTCTCCTCTCTGCTCCTACATTCGCCGCCAGTCATGGAGTCGCGTCTGATCTCACGCGCCACCGCCTTCGCCGCCATCCCTCACCTCCGGAAGCCGACGGGCAGGGACCTCGGAGGTGGAAGCTCCAGCTCCTCCGTTCCGGCGAGGCCGATCGGCGCCGTCGGGGAGGGCGGAAACCTGATTTGGGGGAGGCAGCTAAGGCCGGCGTTGCTGCTTGAAAGCTCGCCGGCGCCGGCGCCGGCAACGAGGAGGGAGATTCTCCGGCCTTGCCTGGCCGCCGCGTCGTCGCCCGCAGATGGGAGCGATTCCGCCGGGTGAGGTCCGTTTCGTCCGTTCTGACTCGGTCGGAACTCGCCCGTTGGTCAGCCTCTGACTGATGGGTTGTGTTTTTTTGTCTGACTCGGTGGTTTTGCAGGGAAGCGAAGGTCGCTCCGATCGGGTTTTTCAACAAGTATCCGGCGCTCGTCACCGGCTTCTTCTTCTTCATGTGGTGAGTCAAGTGACTAACATAATCCTGTAGGTTTTAATCACGCGGTTATGAGCGAGACTTTTTGTTCATGATTTATGATTTTAATTTTTAAAATTTAAATTTTTTTTTGTAAAAAAAAAATATTATAAAAAATTAAAAATTATGATTTAAAATTAAAAATAAAAATTTTAAAATATCTTAAAAACTATCTAAATCACTCGATAAATACATGTGATTTAACTTGTTAAAAAAATATCTAGTATGAAAATTATGAACATTATAGATTGAACTGTAAAAATTAAAGTGAGATAACTCTTATTTTTTAGTGATTATATATATTTGTAACCCATTTTTTCTTTTTTATGTACTCTAGTGTCCACCAGGTTGTTTTTTTAGTGACAACTCCGATTAACTTGACATGACACAGTTTACCAGTCCGCTTTTAATATTGGTACACTTTTGTTGTCGGTGGTTTTTTCTTCTTTCGTTTTTCTGATTTTGCGAGTAGTTTTTTGAATTTTTAAGGGCTTGTTCTTTTGATGTTTTTGAATTAAGTAACTTGAATATAGATTTTGAGTTGAGTTTGAATTATAACTTGAGTTGAAGTTGTAACTTGAGTTTGTATTTGATTATGTACATTTAAGGTATGGTTTGAGATAAGAATCTTTTTTGAGTTTGTGTTTGAGTAAGTTAAAACTTGAATTTGTATTTATATAGTATTTTAATAAAAACTCAATGCTGATGAAAAATTTTAATAGGGTATATGAGTCTAGTTTTATTCGTCTTTTCATTGTTAACGCATAGAAAAAAAAATCATCTCAATCAGAATTAAAACAAAAAAGTTATATTATTTTTAAGAATAGAAAAAATACTGTTCATTAACTTGAGTTCGAGTTTCTGAACTCAAGTTGAAGGGGAAACTTGAACTCGAGTTTTAGTTTCAAACTTGAGTTCAAACTTAAGTTCAAACTTAAAAGCACATGAACTCGAATAAAATTATAACTCGAATTACCTTTTCTTGAGTTTTTCACTCAAAAACCACTCTGCCGAACAAGGCCTAAGTTTAATATATTAGTTTTTAAATTTAATATAGTAATTGTAAATTTTTTTAGAGTCTCTTTAGTTTATTAATTTTTTATTTTAACATTTTAAATTTAAATTTTTTATGTAAAAAAAATTATAATAGAATTAAAATTATGAATTTAAACGTAATAAATTAATGAGATGGTTAAAAGTTGAACAAAAATGTTCTCTACAGTCAAGTTAATTTGTTCAAGGGAATATGCTAAAATTCTTGATACGATGACGAAGCACGTCATTTCACTTGATTAAGGCATCGTTCATTTCACCGATTTGAGTTTTCAGTTTTAAGTTTTTACAGTAAAAAGCTATCAGAAAATGTCATATCTAACGTTTTCTGTTACAGTGAAAAGCTCTCAGGTAAAAGTTACATCTCAACTCAAATTGAAAACTCGAATCCGCAAAGTAAACGAGACCTAAGAGTACTTCTTCCGATATTATTTATCAACTTGAAAGCAATCTATAATATTTTATTAAATTCATAAAATAATTTGTGAAAACAAAATTTCGGAGACAACTTACAACTAATCACAAAAAAAAAAAAAAAAACCTATCACAATAACACAATTAGCCTTCTTTTGCTAATATCCATTGCACAATTAGCTTAATTAATTTGATTACTGAAAGTAAGATATTTTGTTGTGCAAGCAGTTTTGTGTCTGTAGTGCACTTGTTGGTCGGGGTGGTCTACTGCTTGATCAGCTGGGCCGTGGGCCTTCCTAAGCGTGCTGTAAGTGACCGCTTTTCAAGCCCATAACATTCCCCATTCATTTATTACCCTTCAAAGAGATAAAAATGGGAGAATGAAATAAACCGGAGATTTATTGTAAATAATTGAATTAAATAGAAAACTTTAAAATTATTTAAATTAAATAATAACTTACTGTATAAATATTTTTTTACAATTAGTAAAAAGAATTTTTCATACAAAAATTCATTTTACAATTAGTAAGATTTTTTTAAGTAAATAAAGATTTTTTATCACGTAAATTATTTTTCAGTCGTATAGAAAAATTTTACATGGACTATTTACTTAAAATAGTTTTAAAATTTGTTATTTATTTAATTTAGCTTTATAAATTTACTATTTATTACAATTTCTAAAGAGGGGATAATTACACTAGATGATAAAATTTTATATCTTGAGTTTAATTTTAAAAAAATTAAAATATTAGAAGAAAAGAAAAAATAACATAGTAATTATTATAATGGTCCCATTTTGTACTATATAATAATAATAATAATATTATTATTATTTTAATTATATTAAAATTTTCTATTATTATAATATTTTAAAATTTTTGATTGGTTGAACTTGCACTGCACAGAAACTGGCTCCGTTCACTTCGTTAATTCGAGTTTAGAATTCAAGTTTTTCTACAGTAAAAAGCTCTCACAAACAATCACGTCTAACTTTTTTGCTACAGTAAAAAGCTCTCACATAAAGTCACATCTCAACTTGAATTCTAAACTCGAATAAGCGAAGTGAACGGGGCTATAATTTATTCTAAAGTTAGACTATTAAATTATTATTGCTAGCAATGGTATTGAGATAGGGAAATCCAAAGAAATGTCTCTCCAGCAAAAACGCATATAGATTTATGTTATTTTTTAATATTATAAAATCCTGTCCTCATTTCTCATGTTAAAAGAGACAAAATTCTAAGAGCATAACACGGCACCCAACTAAAAAAAAAAAAAGAAAAAGAAAAAAGAGTTAAAAGGGGTACATTTTCTAATTATTCCTATGCTATTAGTATTTGTGTGTGTGCAATATGATGCCATTGAACTGACATATATATATACATGTATATATGTATATATATATTAAATGTAGCCGATCGACTCGAACCTGTTGAAGTTGCTAATCCCAGTTGCTGTGTGTCACGCACTTGGCCACGTGACCAGCAACGTCTCATTTGCAGCAGTTGCCGTCTCTTTCACACACACGGTCAAAGGTGAGAAAAACAAAGCGAAATGAATTTTTCTTTTTTTCTTAATCTTTTTGTTTAACATGGGAATTTTGTTTGTTTATAGCTCTTGAGCCCTTCTTCAACGCTGCTGCCTCTCAATTTATCCTTGGACAATCTATTCCCATCACTTTATGGCTATCCTTGGCTCCTGTTGTTCTTGGTTAGTTCCTCTAGCTTTTTTTTTTTTTTTTTTGTGTTAATTTCATTTATGTTTGTATTTTTGTTATACAAGTAAAAGAAGTGTTTTCTTTTAATTTCAAGAGAAAAGCAACTCAAAAGTCAAAACATGCGTACACAAATTTTGTCTATGAATAAAAATGTATTAACGGGTCCGTTTTTCTTTCCTTGTTTTTTTATAACGAGAAAAGAAGCATGATTTATTAAAGGGTTGTTCTTTTGCGTGAGTTGAGTTATGAATTGAGTCATGCACTGTATGATTTGAGTTAAAAAATGAACGTACCCTGATCAGCAAAGATAATCTTTACTCACTAATTTAGTCAGTAAATCTTGTATTTACCCGGTTAATATGATGTTACCGATTAATTTCATTCAATAAATGTGTGATTCACCAAAAATGGCTATGTTTTAGCCCAAAAAATTTGGCCATTTTTTCAATTGCCTCTCCAAGATTCGGCCGTTTCCTTCAATAACTTTTTATTTTATTAGATCTAGCATACTAATGATTATATGCTTAATTGTAGGATTTAAGGCTCTTGCAAATCATAAAAGTCACAAATAAAATCTATTTTTTTTCCCCTTGTGAATGCAGGTGTGTCAATGGCATCATTGACCGAGTTGTCATTCAACTGGACTGGTTTCATCAGTGCTATGATATCCAACATCTCCTTTACTTACAGGAGTATCTATTCAAAGAAAGCCATGGTTAACCTCTCTAGTCAAGCTCCTCCTAATCTTTCTTACTGAAGAAAACAGCCTCGGTTATTTCCTTCCTTGCCTCTTAATTTTTAATTGGAAACTTTCACATTTTTTTTTTTATTTTTATATTTTTTTCAGACTGATATGGACAGTACCAATATCTATGCCTACATCTCCATCATTGCTCTGTTTGTCTGCATTCCACCTGCCCTCATTGTGAGTGAAACTTTACTTGAAATCTCCAAAAGGAATTGGTTATTGTGTAAACTAAAATTTCCCCTTTTTTTTTTGCCTAATTTTGTAGGTAGAGGGACCTCAACTAATTAAGCATGGTTTTAATGATGCAATTGCAAAAGTTGGTCTAGTCAAGTTCATTACAGATCTCTTCTGGGTGGGAATGTTTTATCACCTTTACAACCAGGTACTTGGGTTAATTTTTCCATGCTATACAGCCATTGTCTTGAGTCCCACAGCCGTATGATATGGTTTTAGTGTAATATTTTTTTTTAGACGAAACAGTAAGTGTAACATTTGTTGTACGGACTTGTAATTTTCTTATGTAACATGATAACAATTGAAACAACTTTAATGTAACATGACGAAAGAGTGCATTTTATTGAGTATTACACTTAAATAAAATGAGTAATATGAATGTGCAAATGATGTTACATTGACGAACACAAAATCGGATGAAAGACATTTCATATATATGAATATATATATGTGTGTGTGTATATAACACAAAGCATTGTCAATGGTTTGCTGTGAACACAGTGGCATGACAAAAAGATATTTCTTTGTTTTCAATTATCAGTTGGCCACCAACACTTTGGAGAGGGTAGCACCACTCACACATGCCGTTGGTAATGTGTTGAAACGTGTGTTCGTGATTGGCTTCTCCATCATCATCTTTGGTAAATGTCTTGTATTTCCTTATTTTCAGATTAGTCTGAATCTGTCTTTCTGGTTTACATATATATATATATATATATATATACACATATATATATAACTGGAAGTCATTTCATGGACGTATATTATACACACAAAAATTGTTGCCCGCAGGTAACAAGATTTCGACACAGACCGGAATTGGTACCAGCATTGCTATTGCCGGAGTGGCAATTTACTCTTACATCAAGGCCAAGATGGAAGAAGAGAAACGAGTGAGTCTTTCTTACCTCACAGCTCATTTACTATATTCAGAGTCCAAGTTATATCGATTTCTTTGTCCGTTGGGCAGCTTAATTGAAGTATAATTTGATCTGTTGCAAATGAAAAATGTTAAAAATCCATCATCGGTGCCTAACACAACAACTTACTTATGCCCAATACACTACTCGTTAGAAATTATAGGGTGTGTTTGGAACTCATTTCAAAATGATTTTTTTTTTTGTATGAAAATGGAAATGAAAATGTTTTCAATTTCAGACAGAAATCATTTTTAAAAATGCATTTAGTAGTTTTATCAAGAGATTATTTTCAGTATAAAAAATCCATTAATATATCTCTCTCTCTCTGTGCTCGAGAGAAGAGAAAACGGAAACGAAAAATGAGAAACGTCTAAAAGTTATTTTTTATTTCTCTCTCATTTTACACTAAACCAAAAAATCGTTTTTATTTCTGTTTTTTGTCTTTAATTGTGTCAAACACCGATTCTCTTCCGTTTTTATTTTTTCTCAAAAAACGTGAAAAACAAAAACAAAACCAACTCTAAACACCGCCATAGTCTCTTTGATCTAATTTGCATATTCAATAAAAAAAATCCCACATTATCTTTTGGTCACTTTAGTTATCTTCTCCATCCGTAGGGCAATGCACAGATAAATTGCAACTTTTATCGCTACTTTTTGATACTCACTCTCACACAGCAAGAGAGTTGTCATTGATACTATGCAATTTTGTAATGCGTAGTTCTGAGCATTCTTACATGGGGTCTGGGTCTGGTCGAGATGTGAAATATACGCGAGTCCACATTTTATTCGCACCCTGGTTCAACCTTGTCTAGATGTGAAACAATTTTCTTTTTAAAAAACCAATTGATGTGATAACTTTTAAATACTTACCGATAAAATACTGATGCCTCATGCAATGTCAGTTGTTATAAAAAGATGAAACAAAAGCAAACTATTATATTAACATAGAATTCAAGAGGAAGGTGTCTTCTCAATTTAACATATATTGCAGGGCTTCCCTTTCGTTCTTTTTTTGCTCTACACGCTTGACATATTTTATAATGCACTTAACAGTTCTCCATGACTAATCCTTTTTTTTTTTTTTTTTTTTTTTTTTTTTAATTCCTAGCAAGCGAAGGCTGCCTGAGAAGAAATGAAGGATGGACATGGTGGAAATCCTGCACTGTAAATTTTATATATTACCTTCAGAATACATCAAATATTTGAGTATTTGTTATTTCTGCCATTGTTCGCTTCCCCTTTTATCCCATTTATTTTTCTCCGATTCAGGTATAAACAACTGCTAATTTGCGATGCTCTCATGTTTAATGAAAATAATGTAAGCCTTGAGAGAGTCAACGGAATGTTTGGAGAAAAATATGTGAATTATGTTATGCGTGGTGACGAGCAGAGATCATGCTCATTTCTGTATTCATTTTTCCATAAATTTTTTTGTGCATGCGTTGGAAAATAGGTTTTTTTTTTTTTTTTTTTTTTTTTTTTTTTTTTTTTTTTAATTCTTTAGCTAGCACATGTTTTGACAAATTTAGATTCCAACCTTTCAATTTTAACAAATAAGATCTAAACTTAAAAATGTATTGCAATAGTGATCTAATAGCATACGAACTTCAATAAATTAATGGAATGCACAATGGTTTTTGTACAAAATAAAGTCAGAACTTCTTGTTGGTTGACATCTATTATTGATTGGACTTCATTGTTATTTTCTGTTAAAGATTTTAGTTGGCAATTTATTAGCGTAAAAATTCAAAAACAAGTATTTTTAATAACCGGCGCTTATGGAGAATATCAGATATGATTTTGGTTGCTTGATTGATATGATTTTGGTTGTTTGATTGCTCCGAATATGGAATTTTTTGTTGATGGAAATCAGATTTTGGCAAGGTAATTTTAGAGAATAATTGGGAGAGTTATTTGAGGAAAGAATATTAGATTGATTATGTGATGGGTTATTTCTAGTAACATGAAAGTCATAGGGCTGATTGTAGTTTTTGGATGAATTATTTTTGGAAAAATGTGTACTGATTAGTGGGTGTGTGAATTGTATTTCGAGTATTTGAGAATTGTTTATTGGAAGCAGCTTACCTTTCATGAGAGCTAGAGATTTTTGTTGCCGTGAGAAGCTAATCTCGTGGAGATATATGATTTAAGCATAAAATCATATTGATGTGATCTTCACGTTCACGTACTTCACAAAGGTAGGCACATGAGTAACTTTACTATATATATATAAGTGGTGTACGTGAGTTGTGTGGCCTTAAAAAAAGTATTGGGTAATCAAAGGATACATTTGAGGCATGGTTTTTATAGAAAAAATATTTAGAAAAAGACTATGTGAGAGTGAGCCTTTAAGTGTTGATTGAAGATCGTATTTAAAGAAAAGAATTAAAAGCTTTCGGGAGAAAGTGTACTGCCAGCCGAAGGGATTTCGCCATGCAATTTGAAGACGAGTGGTACTTGATGCATAAGGCCATTAATGTGATTCGACATGGCGGCGGCAACGTCAATGAGAGAGTCTTTGAGTGTATAAGTCTGATTGATATTTGTAATCCTTTGATGTTAGTAGATTGCTCACTGTCTGGGCGTGGCCCCGCAGACGTAGGTATGCGCATCAAACTGTGATATTAATTCCTTGTGTCTTTTATGTTTCTGTTAATCTTTTTGCACTTATAATTTATTGCAGCTGAATTAAAGAAAAAATATATCAATCTGCACGCATTTGTCATCAGTGTTACAACAAGTGTTATAACACTCTTTATAACACCCGGTTCAAAATAGACCTTACATTCTCTAAGAGCAACTCTAATGTAAATACTAACACTAATTCTAAATTTGCCATAAAACATCATGTAAATAACACATTTGATGTGCTACTCTATGTTGTGCTCCAATAGTGATGTTATATATACTTTTTGACATAATTATTAAGCTTTGTAACTTATAGAAGTCGACTTTTCTAAAAATTTGAAAATGACAAAAAGTTAGTCCATAATCAGTTAAATCTATAATTTCGAGTGTTCCTCGCTTATGTGGGTTAGGGCTTGTTAGTAGGGGTGTAATTCGGCTGGGTAGACTTGGGTTGGGCCGAGCCGCACTGTGTGGGTTGAGAAAATTTTGGGCCGCAACACCCTCATAAGCTCATAAACTCGTAACTTGTCGAGTGACCTCGGGTAGGCACGAGTTACTCGGGTGACAGGCTTGCTCTCTCTGGACTCTAATGGGCTGTGGTGATATTGGACTCTAATGGGCTATGGATTGTGGTGATATTGGACTCTAATGGGCTATTGAAAAACTCCATTATGGTCTTAATTCAACAACGCATACAAGCATCTCTTCTTTCCTACAAATTCATAACATCAGAAAATCAGAAAAATACGTCAAGAGAATTGCATAGCAAACAACAAATCAGAATTCAACAAGCCTGCAGTACCTTCTCCAAACCTCCGTTTGTTAGGAGAAGTATCTTTGCTCTTCTCATCGTCGCCACTACCCTCAGTACTCTTTTTCCTTTTCTTCTTCTTCTTATTGTTTGTCTCTTCCTCGAGAGGATCAGGACTACGTCATTTCTTCTCAAGTTCCCCCATTGTTACATCTACACTTTCCTCTCGGATCCCCTTGCTTCGATCTTCGCCATTCTCATCAGCTTCCTCTCCTAAAGCCTCAAAATCCAAAGCTCTCTTAGCCCCGGAACCATCTTTCTAACCATCAAAATCCGGAAAACCAGAATCCAAAACATTTCCATCATCGAATTCCTCCGATCCCGAACCATACGATAATTGCTATTTTGATTCACCAAAAATTAGGGCTTTGGAATGGGAGAAATTCTCTTCTGCCATCAAAGGAACATTGTTGGACCGTTCGAGTTGGGCATCTGGAGAAACCTTAATTGCTTTCTTCAAGCGCTTCAGCTTTCGTGAAGAAGACAGAAAGAGAACGATCAACGAATAAGAAAGAGAGAGGCTGAGGCAATGAAGAAGACAGAAATGGTGAGGACTCGAGGGAGGAAAGGAAATGTGAGAGGTTGAGGCGCAGACAAAGAAAGAATAAATGAATTAGGAAATTGATTCGGCCGGATCGGCTTTCCTCGAGTTCAACTGAATCCAACCCGACACCCGACCCGCACTGTGCGGGTTTGGCATAATGCATCCGAAAAATTTTTTTAAAAAAAATTTCCACTATATTCGGGTAGGGTAGGGTCAGCTCGGACGAGTTCATTGAGTTCGGACTCATTTCTTACACTCCTACTTGTTAGTACGTTTGGGATTCTTAGTGGCAGAATCTGGCACTTCCAATTAGCTGGTCGTCAGATTCCTGGCCTTAGAGATGGAGATCTGGGTGTTGATGAGGGTGCAGGTGTTTGGCTCGACCTCGTTTGCCATTAGGGCTGCGTTGTGGTCATGTTTAAAGGAGTGGCTGTTGGACTTTGCATTGGTGGAGTTTTGCTCGCTAGTTGAAGCAGTGATAAGTTTAGGCCTCATTCATTTAACTGATTCGAGTTTTCAGTTTTAGGTTTCTACAGTAAAAAGTTCTCAGAAAATGTCACGTCTAACTTTTTTTGCTACAGTGAAAATTTCTCAAAAAATGTCACATCTCAGCTCAAATTGAAAACTCGAATCCGCGAAGTGAACGAGGTTTTAGTATCACCAGTGGGAGGCGCGTTGTGTCTCTTATGTTCCAACGGCTTGGGGGTTCTGGCACCCATGGTTTTGCCATCTCGTGTTGGCAGCTGGTGGTGACGACGCGTGGACCTCGCGTGCCGGTGAATAGGTATTTCTCTAATGGCTTTCTTGAGTCTTGGCCCTCTACTGTTCTAGTTCTGCTGTAGATTTAAGTACACTCAAATTTTTAAAAAAATATAACCCTTAAAAATTTTAAAATTTTACACTTAAACTCCTATTAAAATAATATATGTCCCTATTAAAATAAATATATTTTCTTATATGTCTCTACTAAGATAATTTATTAACAACATTTAATGTACGTCCACACTGAAGTAAAAGGCTGACTCTATCACTGGTGTTAGGATTTTCTTCTGTTTTGCTTTGTTTTAGTAAAGGCGATGTTGATTTCGCCATGTAGATGTTATGTTTTGTTGTCTTTGCATTTTTAGCATGTAGTTGCAGAGGCGGCTCCCAACTTTCTGGTTTTGTTTGTGAGTGCAATACACTGAAACGTTTTCTTGGCGTTGTCGTGGGTGATCGTTAAGCCTAATATCAAAATTTTAGTAAAACAATGGTGCTTGGTACCACTTTTAAAATGGTTCACCACAGTTCCTAATAAAGATGTTTTTGAAATGGTTGTGGAATAACGTTCGTTTTGCATTTAATGTGCAAACAAAACACAATATTGTTTTCATATTTTTTTTTTAGGAAGCAGAAAACGATATAAAGTTATTTTCCTTTTAATTTTCATATTTTAGGGTTTATACACGTAATTTACATTTTTAAAAACATAACCAAACATAGGATCAATTTTTCTTATACTCAAAATAATTTCTTTAGAAAAACAACTAAACACAAGTTTAGAAACAGTTCCAACACAACTCCAAAAAATTTCTCATTTTTATTTTAATACTCAAGACAAAACATTTTTCAAAACATTATCAAATAGGTATAAACTTCATTATAACACATTTAATGTGAAAACAAAACACAATATTATTTTCTTATTTTATTAAGAAAGTAGAAAAACGATCTAAAGTTATTTTCTCCTCTCATTTTCAAATTTTAGAGCTTATACGTAATTTACATTTTTAAAAACATAACCAAACATAGAATCACCTTTTCCAATACTCAAAAACAATTTTTTTAGAAAAACAACCAAGCATAAGTCTAGAAACGGTTTCAACACAACTCCTAAAAATTTCTCATTTCATTTTCATATTCAAAACAAAACATTATCAAACGAGTATAAGCTTCATTAAAACACATTTATTAATTATTAAAAAAATTTAAAATTATTTTAATTTATTAAAGTTTTTTAATTGACACAAATGATTCTTAACCTATTCAGAAAGTAACAGTTCGGTGTTTATTCTTTTAATCTTGACGAAGCACTTCCTAAGCTCTTTAATAGGTGCAAAAAACACATTTTCATCTAATTCTGTTAAATTTTTAACGGAAGGCATCACATGTGATCATATATTCAAGGGTGTTTTAGTAAATGACTATAATACACCTTTTAAAGTTAATAAAATAAAAAAAAATAAAAAAGGCTCAGAGAACCACATTCTCCTGAAATCCCATTCGAACTGCAAACTCCAAAAATCCAATACATACAAGGATTGCATTTTGCAAACAACAATAGAGTATGTCGACAATATAACAAATTAAAATAGGCCTTAGAAATCCTATTTTAATTGCAAACCAAAATCCTTCGTGTTGCAAATCAATAGCTAAAAAATGGGATATACGGTCGTTTAGTTTGCTGATTTGAGTTTTTAATTCAAATTAAAATGTGACTTTATGTGAGAGTTTTTTACTGTAGTAAAAATACTATAATAAAAAATTTAGATCTGACTATTTCTAAAAGCTCTTTATTGTAACAAAACTCAAATTTTAAACTTAAATTGATAAAATTAACGAGACCAAGAATTAAACAATATACCATAATTTGAATCATGATTCATAATTTACTACAGTATTTTTTCTCATAAAAAATACACATAAATTAAAAATAATTTTAATCTCATAATTTTAATTCACGAACCAAACATCTCAAATTACCTACGATTTTGGGGGGTCCTTTTGAAAAATAGGCTTAAAATGTGTAATGTGTTTAATGAGTAGGTTCCAAAATAGAAAGTTTCAATGAGTAGGCATTTCATTAAATGAAAAAATGTGTATTCCCTAAATGCCCTTCTCCTTTTCTCTCAAATTAAAAGAAAAAACGTTTGAAAAGGAGGAGCTAAATCCCCTCCTTCGCTGGGCAGTCACGAGGAAACGTTGCCGGCCAAAGTTCACCGGCGGCGCCGCCTTTCACCGCCGGAGAATGCCCCTACCGACGTCGACAATCGCCGGCATACATGGTGATTAACAGTCCGAGCATTATTCTCTCAAATCTTGTATTTTTTATGCTTAATTCATTGTTTGAATGCTGGGTAATCGTGGTTTGGTATTTTATTTGAAAAACCAACAAGAATCATGCTATTTCATGGCCTCTTCGGAGTTGAGTAATCTGCAAAATCGAAGAAACTCACGTCTGTCATTTCTTTCCGTTCTGACTGGTGAGAGCGGTAAGAAACCTGAGTCCGGTCAAAAAGTTCTTACTGGTGTGCCCTGTAAGAAAATTGCCAACCGGTCTTTCCAATAAGAAAGATCTGATCGGGCATAATTTTTAAGGATATTTTGGTCATTCACTCTTATCCCAAGAATAAAAAAAATAAAAATAAAAATTTCATTTATAACGAGTCTACGAATTGAATGGGTGTACATTTGGGGCATATTGACTTAAAAAATCCGGTTTTGGGTGCATTCTTCAAGTCAAATTGGGAGAAGATGGGTTCAATCTCTTTATCCTCCTTTTATCTTAACCTGCAAAGCAGAAAAGCTACTTTTCATTGAGTTATCAATAGTTGTCACAATAATAGTCAGACTACAATCTACCACATAAATAGATGTGTGGCAAGAGATTTTAAAAAAAAAAAAAAAAATAGACTAACCCAAAACCTTACTTGATTGAACTTGGAAAGGCAAGAAGGCGTGCTAAACCTCTCTCTGTATCTCACCATAATGAACACAACTTCTCTTCTTTGGTTTCTACCCTCCATTAGAAATACCTTATTCGAGTTCAAGATTCTCTTTAACCTGATTTGGGTAGCGAAGTGGTTGGATCTAGTAGGCAGAGGGTGCCAATGAGTTGCAAAAGGCTGAGCTCGGTTGAGCTTGCGGCGGCGCCAGCTGCGACGAGGAACAATTTGGGCGGCGAAGTGATTGGATTCGACGGAAGGAGACTCTGCTCGTTCGACGTTGGGCTCAATTCAAGTAATTGATCTGGGTTTGAAGTTTGTAGAAGAAAAGAATCTGGGTTTGAGTTTTATTAATTAAAGAAAATTGAAAAAAAAAAAACAAATTGATGTGTTTTTTTTTTGTGGTGAGAGATTTGAGAGCATTTCTTCTTTTCAGTGTTATACCATGTCATGTGAGGGTCACGTGTGATTTTCAGCTAGTAATTTGACAGTTTTAGACGGATTGGTATTTTTTGCACCTAATTAAAGAATTTAAAGGCTATTTTATCAAGATTAAAAAAAATAAAGATATAAATATCACCTATTGAATAAGTTAGGACAAATTATTCAAAATATAATTCCAAATACTTGCTATAAAATTCATTCTGCGTTTGGTTGGTAGATTCATATTATAGTTTGAATCATGGTTCGTAATTCGTTATAATATTTTTTTTTATAAAAAATATACATAAATTAAAAATAATTTTAAATTATGATTTTGAATTTATAAACTAAATGTTCACTTAAGACCCGTTAATTTCACCGATTCGAATTTAGAATTTAAATTTTATTATAATAAAAATTTTTTAAAAATAGTCACATTTAATTTTTTTATTACAGTAAAAAATTTTAACATTAAGAGTCCGTTTGGTTCATAGATTAGAACTATGTGATTATAATCATTTTTGATTTACGTGTATTTTTTGTGAGAAAAAATACTGTAATGAATTACAAATTATGATTTGAATCAGGGATGAATCCCTCTACCAAACATCGCTTTTTAGTTACATCTTAACTCAAATTAAAAAATTTAAATTAATGAACTAAATGAGTTCTAATATTTTTACTTCATTTCTTTTAGTGAGGAGGAAAAAACAAATAGTTCTGCAAAGATCAAGTACCCATGAGTACCCATGACGAGAAAGCCAAGTGGCCCTCATCAGAAAGCCCAGCCCAATGTTATCCAAAAGCGTCAAGTGGGGCCTATTACCGGCTCATGGTAACACAAACCACAAACATTCCTCGATCATCGCGCCCAAAGATCCCGAAGAACCCAAATGACCACAAACAAAAAAGTCATCCGAAACAGATACGATAATAGCATTACGTGAAGGAAAAAAAAAAACAAAAAGAAAAAGCGAAATAACCAAAGAAGAACCTCAAAATGAAAAGTTCATCAAGTCAAATATATAAATTAAAAAGAAAAACAACACGAACAAATAAATATCGTCTCTTGGAACTCGTGAGCTGGAAAAAAAAAGAAAGAAAAAGAAAAACAAAATCAAATTCATTCTCTCGGGTATTGTTTTTTTTCCCTAATAACCTACATCAAAAAGGACATGTTTGACATAATCACAAACACTCATTTAAAACTCGAAAACTAAAAAGAATAAAACTTGAAAAAGAAAAGAAAAGAAAAAAAGAAAATTAAAATTATGGAAGGTGGAATAAGATCGAAGTGCGACTGTTGGATTTTTTTTTATGTTTCTAATTTATTTCTCCTTTTCGTATTTCCTTCCTTTTTATTATTCTTCTTATTATTATTTTTCAGATTGCTATTTTCGTTCGTTCTTTCTTTCATACAATCCTTTTTTTTCCTTCTCATTTATTATTTTTATATTTTATCATTCGTTGTTGTTAGTACCATTATTCGGCGATAATGATAATTCTACGCTTCTTTTCTCTTTTCTATTCCTTGACTGTTACGGTGTTTTTGGTTAAAGAGGAAGACTAAAAAGGGGTAAAATTAGATTCTTTTTCTGTTTGATGTTCTTGGCCAAACCCTAGATTTCTTCCTCTTCCCTTGGGGTTGAGGAATTTTGGAGGTTGAAGAAGACGAATTTCTGCTCGGATCTCGATCGTCTGCTTCAATGGAGGGCGTTTCGGAAGGAGAGAATCAGAATAACAACGATAGTAGTAATAATAATCATAATCATACTCCAAACAACAATAATGGCGGAAGTAAGGGGAATAATTCCAATGAAGGACACAGCAAGCCCAAGCGCCAGATGAAGACCCCGTTCCAGCTTGAAACCCTCGAGAAAGCCTATGCCTGTATGTATAACTTTTGTTCCTTGTGGGTTTTTTTTTTTTTTTTTGAAGATTTTGATTGTTGGTTTTTTTGTTTTTGTAAAGTTTTGATATTTGTATGTGTTTTTTTCTATGAAAAAATTGAGCTTTTGCTGTTTCTAAATTTATTTCGGAATTTTGATCAGTGGAGGCGTACCCATCGGAATCGATCAGGGCCGAGTTGTCGGAGAAATTAGGGCTTTCTGATCGGCAATTGCAGATGTGGTTCTGTCACAGGAGGTTGAAGGACAAGAAGGATGGTGGACCCGCCAAAAAGCCGCGGAAGATGGTACCGGCTTTGCCGGAATCTCCTATTGATGAGTTGCGGGCCGGGCCGCCCGAACTGGGTAGTGATTATGGATCGGGTTCTGGGTCCGGTTCGAGCCCATTTGGTCCTGCCGAGCTGCGGAATGTGGTGTCCAGAGGCTTGGCTGATGACTTGCCGCCAATGGGAAGGAGGTACTATGAGCCCCGGCAGTCTATGTTGGAGCTTAGAGCTATTGCCATTGTGGAGGCACAATTGGGAAAGCCATTGAGGGAGGACGGGCCGGTTCTTGGGATTGAGTTCGACACATTGCCGCCGGATGCATTCGGTGCACCCTTAGGTATAACTAGTGCATTTAGTCCTGCTCATAAGCTATTGAATGTCTGCTGAATTTCGTGGCTCATGGTGTTATATATAAGCTGCAGCTTACAAGTTTCAAATGCGCTTAGATTTTGAATATACTTTGGCTTAACATTGTTATACACTCATTTATCATGCGAAGCACTTGGAGTGGTGGAGTTGGTTTGAATGAATTAGTTCCAAAAACCTACATGTGATAAAAGGGATGGACTGTGCATGGATTAGAGCAATTCAGTTGTGACTTTTTATATTAGTACGTATGTTAACAATCTGGAAAAGAGTCATGATTAAATTCCTTTTAATTGCATACCTTTGTTACCGACATTGTTTGATAGTATGCCCAAAAATTTCGCATTACATCTACGTATTTGCTTGAAATTCTGGATATTTTACTGTCAACATTTGTTTAGAGTTTAGAGCACGTACAATGTTGTATTTGCATATATGATGTGTTCTTGAAATTATTAATCTTTCTTCTCGTGTGTAGAACATACTTGCCCTTAAACACGTTATTATACAATATAGAATGGCATAGTGTTAAGTTTGCTTATATTATCTCCAATTCACGCACTTGTACATATTTGCTTTGTGCTTACTCATCCAGTATTTTTTGTTGGAGCAGTTGCAGAGCAGCAGAAACGGTCTGGGCATCCTTTTGAGGGCAAATCATATGAGCGACATGAAAAACTAAATAAAGTTTGTATCTTGTTCTTCAATACGATTATGTTTTATCCTGTACTTATTGACTTGCATGATGATGGTGCTTGAGATATTTTCATTTGTTCTCTGTAATTTGTTTAAGATGCTTGGTGAATTTCCCAATCTATGTATTTTTTTTTTTTGGTGTGGGCATTAACATGATAGATCCTTGCGTAACTATTTGGTACTTTTTATAAGCTTCATTTGTTCTCCCATTTTATGTTTAGTTAAGATCCTTTTTGGGAAGAAATATCTATGAAACTACTTCGAAGTTGAGGTTTTATCTATGTTTGATGCCACACAATTTATGCTACCTTTGTTGTCCTTTTTATTGCTTACCTGCCCCCTTCTTGAAACAGGAATTCATGTATCTGCATTTAGATTGTTTCACTCTTGGTGCCCTTTTATTAGTTGGTTGTTTGCAACTCTTAGTAGTTAAATTTTTCTTGGAGTACTTATTTAATCCTTACTTCTTGGTTACTTATTGAAGCAATATAACATTTATCTCAGGCTACTGCAAGAACTCTCCATGAATACCCATTTCTTCCAGAACCCTCCACTTCTCGTACCGACGTGTACGGACACGTTGCTCCGTCTCATATTCATAATTCAGCACTTGATGGTCCAACTGCTAGAAGTTCATCATTTGCAGTCAGCAATGAGCAGTTACCTAGGATTCATGGCAACCAAGGTCATGCATCTCGTGTTCGCCTTTCCCAACAGGATAAGCAAGGAGTTTCATTTCCATTGCCTCCCGTGGATGATAATTGTCTGCCACAAAAGGACCCTTTTACAAATACTAAAGTGAATTCTCAGATCAGTGAGCACCCGGTTATTTCACCAGAAAATTCGTATATGTTGTCTGATGGACAAATCTTAGCTAATGACACTGTATTAAGGCTGGAAAGGAAGCGCAAGGTATGCAATAGAGCAGTTTGGAAAGCATTTCAGTTGCATTTGATGATATTATTGTGCTTGAATGACATTCTTCTCTACATGGATTGCTGACATAATTATTTGCCTTTTGTAGTGTGAAGAAGCTAGAATTGCGAAAGAAGTTGAAGCTCATGAGATTCGAATTCGAAAAGAGCTTGAGAAACAGGATAACCTTAGGCGAAAGGTACTTTTTCATTTGTCATTTGTCTATGTTCTTCTGAATGTGAGTAGAGGTTTTTGTTCTGATATTTTGAACCTTCTGCTATTAGCACGAGGAACGACTGAGGAAAGAGATGGAAAGGCAAGACCGTGAAAGACGAAAGGAAGAAGAGAGATTGATGCGCGAGAAGCAGCGTGAGGAGGATAGATTGAGACGTGAACAAAGGCGTGAAATGGAAAGAAGGGAAAAGTTTTTGCAAAAAGAATGTTTGAGAGTATGTTTAGGAGCCCTACTAATGTATTAAGTATTTCATTCTTTGTTTATTGTCATCTTTGAGGATCAGTTGACAATGTCATACTCCCTCACTTCCCTCTGTTGATTCTTTCCCTTTCCCATGGCATGTCTTTGAAGGCGGAAAAAAGGAGGCTTAAAGAAGAGCTTCGTAAAGAGAGAGAGGCAGTGAGACGAAAAGCTGCCATTGAGAAAGCTACTGCACGCAAAATTGCGCGAGAGTCAATGGAGCTGATTGAGGATGAACAACTTGAACTGATGGAGATGGCAGTTTCTCGAAAGGGATTATCTTCAATAATCTCTTTAGATCATGACACTATGCAAAACCTTGAATCATTCAGAGGTAGGATAGCTACACATGCTACTTTAAGAATTCATAACTTAAATGCTATGAATGAAGCTCATATCACCACTTGCTTTTTGTCCTCACTTGTTACTGTGAAAATCTATTGGGCTGCTGTCTGACCTTTTCCCCTTCTTTTTCTTCTTAGATTTTCTCGGTGCATTTCCACCCAAGTCCGTGCAGTTGAAAAGTCCATTTGCAGTTCAGCCATGGATTAATTTAGAGGAGAATATTGGCAACCTTCTCATGGTGCGTCGTAATGTGTTCTTATCTTCTTCCCTTTAGATGAGAACCTAGTATTTGGAATATAGTTACATGAAAATAAATTTGCTTGTCTCAGGACATTTTATTATGTTTCCTTTTACACTCTGAATGGTTGGTAATATCTCTTGGCTCAACATGTCGAAATGCTTCATGCTTGTCTTATAGTTGCACTTTCAATTTCTTGTTTTTGTATGGTCTCATTGTCCTGTGGTAAGCCAGATATGACAATATTTATTTGATTTATCTTCAACATATTAATTCAAAAGTGGCTATAAGTATCTTTTGGTGCCAAAAGTTTTTGTAAATGGTGCCTTTGGATATTTCATCACTTTATACTAAGTGAGGGGTTATGTTATTATGATGTTATTCTTATGTCAGCTAGCGGTGTTCTAAGGTCTAATATCTAGAGCACTTAGTTGCTGAACTTCAGTTGTGGTGTTTTTGATATGTCTGAACTGTCCCAACAATATACGATACATGTGATGGTGAATTACCTCGATTTTGATGTTTAAATATTGTTGGCTTTCTCAGGTTTGGAGATTTTTTATTACTTTTGCGGACGTTCTTGAGTTATGGCCGTTTACTCTTGACGAGTTTGTTCAAGCTTTTCATGACTATGTAAGTGTCTTGGATGATCTTTGGTTTATTTGTATGCTCTAATTTCTTGTTATGTGGTTTTCAGGAAAAAGATAAAACAGTTACTTGTTCTTTTTCTTCTCCTCTTTCAATTTATTTCCCCTTTTTGTGCAATTGTGATGTCAGGATTCAAGGTTGTTGGGAGAGATTCATGTTGCTCTTTTGAAGCTGATAATAAAAGATATTGAAGATGTTGCTAGGACACCTTCTAGTGGATTAGGAATGAGCCAGAATGGTGCTGCTAATCCTGGCGGTGGACATCCAGAGATTGTTGGAGGGGTAACCTTTGCGCTGTGCACAATTAAAAAATGTTCTTTGTTTTGGTGTAAACTTTTCCGGATTCTTGCAGAGCATTTTCTGATATTCACTTTTCTCTTTCAGGCATACACATGGGGTTTTGACATACGTAACTGGCAGCAGCACTTAAATCCATTAACGTGGCCTGAAATTTTCAGGCAATTAGCATTGTCCGCAGGATTTGGGCCACAGCTGAAGAAAAGAAGCATGGCGTGGTCTTACTTGCCTGATAATAATGAGGTTTGCTTTCACATTTTGTTTTTTTTTTTTGTTTTTTTGTTTTTTTTTACTCAACCCTGTTTGTGTGTTTACCAACCAAAAAGGCACATATCTGGGCGTTGCTCAACCATGTGAGCATATGAGCCTTTATTCTTTTAGGAGCAAGCTCAGAGATGCTTTGTCATGTATAAATAGTGAGCAGGGTAAAATTTAATGCCTTAAAAGATGATTATACATAAACAAGAAACAGGGAAAAATTTAATGCCTAAGAAGGTAGGTTACAAAGTTAGGCCTCTCACACCAACATAAACTCCGTGATTAAGCACACCAGAGGAGAATGCGGCAGCCACAGTGGGAGCTACCTCCTTAGAAAAACACTTCTAAATACTCTTAGGAGTTTTTATTGGGAGGATGTAGCTCCTACTATGGCTACCACTTCTGATCTTTTGTGCTTTCAATCATATATAAGGTTTTTTAGTGGGGGAAAAGAAAACTACTTTGGGACCTCTGTGATTAAGCACAATAAAAGAGAAATTTTTTTGATAGGATAGAGATCTTTGTGCTTGAAACTAGTGAGGAACCTAAATGACTACCACTACACTTGACATGGGCCATCAGGGCGTCCTAGCTCGCGTGGTTCAATTGGTTTGAATGGGACTGAAAACTTGCCTTGGGCATTTAAGGCAGAGCACCTGCACTAATTTCAAACCATTCCATGTTGAAGTTGTATTTTTTTTTTTTTTGAGTTATTTATGGATATCTCCCTCCCACCCGGGTTATGTTTTTTCCTTTTACTAATGTTATCCGTTATGTCAGGGAAAAAGCTCTGAAGATGCAATTTCTACTCTCCGCAGTGGTTCGGCAGCTGAAAATGCATTTGCAATAATGCAAGAAAAAGGATTATTACTTCCGCGAAGATCTAGGCACCGATTGACTCCCGGAACTGTTAAGTTCGCAGCTTTTCATGTTCTTTCACTGGAGGGAAGCAAGGGATTAACAGTGTTGGAGCTGGCAGACAAGATTCAGGTAAGTTTTCAATGAAATTAAACAGGAAGTCATTTATGTCAAGGTGAACCTTTCACGACTAAAATGACCTTTTATTAACTACGGTTGGATTTGAATTTCTATTTATGTGGTTTTTTTTTCCCTGTAAGAAATCTGGACTAAGGGACTTGACAACAAGCAAGACGCCAGAGGCTTCAATTTCTGTGGCTTTGACAAGGGACACCAAGCTTTTTGAGAGGATCGCTCCTTCAACATACCGTGTACGAGCTGCTTACAGAAAAGATCCTGCGGATGCTGAGGCCATACTTTCAGCTGCAAGAAAGAAAGTTCAAATATTTGAGAACGGGTTTTTAGCTGCTGAAGATGCTGATGAGGTTGAAAGGGATGAAGACTCTGAATGTGACGATGTTGATGAGGATCCTGAAGTTGATGATTTAGCTACTCCATCTAGTGCGAACATAGTCACTGAAAATTACAATGAAGTAAATCCTGAAGTTGATGATTTAGCTACTCCATCTAGTGCGAACATAGTCACTGAAAATTACAATGAAGTAAATCCTTGTTCAAGAAGCGGAAAAGAAAATTTATGCGATGATGTTGCACTAGATCTGCAAAATGAGTTCGATAAAGATTCTGCATCGATACCTTTGAGTGATTCCAAGGATGTGAACTGTCCAAGTGCTCTACCAGAGCAATTTGTTGCTAGTGAAGATGCAGGTGGCGGGAATCCTGATGAAGAAAATATGGAGATTGATGAAAGCAAATCAGGTGAATCATGGATTCAAGGGCTTACAGAAGGAGAATATTCTGACCTCAGTGTAGAGGAGCGTCTCAATGCCCTTGTTGCCTTGGTTGGTATTGCAAATGAAGGAAACTCAATCCGCGTTGTTCTTGAGGTATTGAGAATCTTTCAAATAAAAATTTTAGGGGTTTTTTTCTCTTTCTTTTTTTTTTGTTTTTAAAGTTGAATTTGACATCAAGGTCTCAACAGGATCGTTTGGAAGCTGCAAATGCTCTTAAGAAGCAAATGTGGGCAGAAGCACAGCTTGATAAAAGTCGCTTAAAAGAAGAGAATATAACTAAATTAGATTTCCCATCTTTCGTGGGAGGAAAAACTGAAATGCACCTTGCAAGGTCTGCAGCAGAGGGCAGCCAAAGTCCGTTACCTGACATTAATAATAGGAATACTGATTTGTCCCCTAGCGTTGCAGAAAGTAAAAAATCAGTTCATGATTTGAATAGTGTTCAGAATGACCTCAACAGTTTGCCTACTGAGAAAACCTTAGTAGCTCAAGATTTTTCCACGGGTCCAGATAACTTTCTAGCTCAGCAACTTGCATTTGCCTCAAAAAGGTCACGCTCACAGTTGAAATCTTATATTGCCCATAGAGCCGAAGAGATGTACGTGTATAGGTCCTTGCCTCTCGGTCAAGATCGCAGGCGTAATAGATATTGGCAATTTGTTGCATCTGCTTCCAGCAATGATCCTGGCTCAGGCAGGATCTTCGTTGAATTGCATGATGGAAATTGGAGGCTTATTGATACCGAAGAGGTACTTATTTATATGTGTTGGTTTCATGTATGCTAAATTGTTATGTATCACTGTCTGGTAACAGGTTAATTTATTCTTTATTTATGTGTTTTAGGAGAGTATGACTGGGGAAGTAACTTGTCGATGTGGATAGTTTGTTTCTCCCTATTTTTGATGGTGTATTCCATTCCTTTTCCTCTTTGGTAATCATTTATGTTAATTTTTTTCCTTTTTGAGCATGGTTCACAGAATTTTTATTGTGTTAAGTACCCTGGTACTCCATTCCATGGTCAAATTCATTTCGGAGATGGTGATAATTAAATACAACTTTCTTGCGGCTAAAGATTTAACCACATGTTATTTTTTCCTTTTTGAGCATGGTTCACAGAATTTTTATTGTGTTAAGTACCCTGGTACTCCATTCCATGGTCAAATTCATTTCGGAGACGGTGATAATTAAATACAACTTTCTTGCGGCTAAAGATTTAACCACATGTTGCACTCCATGTTAATAAATCACAACGCATGTAGGGCCATGACTTGCATAAGCACCAAACTGCATTATCTCTTTCTTATATTTTCTTTTTCCTCTGAAACTTGTTCTGGTATTTCAATTGCACTGGGTGCTGATTGGCTGACTACAAGTTTAAAGCTGTGGTCATTGAATTGTTTTGGTTTTATTCCAAAATTAGGGATACCATATGATACTATGCAGTAGTAATTGTGCATGTGTTTATTATGTTTCTATATCTCTACTACTTTAATTATGCAACGCTGGCACCTGTAGGCCTTTGATGCTCTTTTGATGTCTTTGGACACGCGTGGGATTCGGGAATCCCATTTACGCTTAATGTTGCAAAAGATCGAAACCTCGTTTAGGAGTGTGCAGTCTTCAAGCATTACAGGCAGAGGTTTATCGATTGTGAAACGTGAAACCGATGAAACTAGTCCTGATTCCCGTGCCAATTTTGACAGTCCTGGCAGTACCATTTGCGGTTTAAATTCTGATTCGGATTTGGTTGAAACATCATCTTCGTTCAGAATTGAACTGGGCAGAAATGAAACTGAGAAAAAGGCTGCCTTGAGAAGATATCAGGATTTTCAGAAGTGGATGTTGGAAGAATGTAAAAATTCTTCAACATTACATGCCATGAAATGTGGAAAAATGAGGTGTAGGCAGAGATTGGAAATCTGTGATTTTTATCTCGGTCTTTATTCACTCGAGGACTCCCATTGTTTTTCTTGCCATCAGACCTTCAGTAACAGTGGTAACGATTTGTCACGACATGCAATTCAATGTAAAGAGAGAAGTAAGTCGGATTTTGTAGATACTTCTTTTCCATTTGGAATGAGACTGCTCAAGGCCTTGTTGGCTCTCATTGAGGTATGTTAAGAACTTTGAAGTACATCCATGTGAAAGTAACTAAATTGTAGTATCGGTTTTCATGAAAATTACTAGCTGTTAATGTTGACTTTTGACTAGCATCTGAAGCATTGACCATTGAGATTTACTTTCAGCTCTACATTTTGTGTATTTTGATCAACAGGTATCTGTTCCACAAGAAGCTCTGCAATCTTTCTGGATGGGAGACCGTGGAAAGACTTGGGGTGTGAAGTTGAATGCTTCTTCGTCCAGTGAACAACTTTTACAGGTTTCATTTTTCTCTAGTTATTATATGGTTTCTTCAGATACGAATTCTCATCAGTAGATATATACGATGGTGTATATATGTACACGAATACTATACTACATGTTTGCTATGGAATTCATGATACGTTCCTGCTTGTTACCATTTGTGGAGTACAACTACAGCTCATAATGCATCTGCTGCCCATTAAGTTAATTCTTTTGGTGTGATAAGTGGCTCATTTGGACCGTATTTGTTTCAGATATTGACTCTGTTCGAGAGCGTCATAAAGCAAGACTTTCTTTCATCAAACTATTCTACAACAGAGGAATTGTTGGGCCCCTGCAATCAGTCAGGGACTTCTTTACACAATATTTCAGATCCTGCATCAGTTCCTGTACTTCCGTGGATCCCACAAACCATTGCTGCTGTTGCTCTGAGACTTTTTGACCTTGATGCATCCATTGCCTATGTGCCAGAGGAGAAACCTGAACCCATCGAGGACAAGGACAAAGAACTCGGAGAATATATAGTAAGTCTCTCTTTTCCCCAAGAATTCTTCTTACATATAGGGTTAAGTCCAAGTGTTTAGTCACCGGGTATCTGTTGATGCAATATAAAAATGTTTCTAATGAAACTGTTGGCAGTTTTAAAACAAAGTTAATCTTTAATTTCTTTTACTGTTCCCAGAAGCTGCCGACGAGATTTGCTCCTTCAAGGAATGATAAAGAGATTGAACTAACAGAACTGAACTACAATGCACATGTGAAAGAAGAGAACCGTTCTCAACTGAAAAGCTCACGAAACAACTACAAGCGAGGGAGAGGGGCTCGTGAGCAAGGTCGTAGTAAGAAGTTGCAGAGAAGAGTAAATGGCTCCAAGCCGGGTGCTTCCCGGCGAAATGCTATGGTCAATGATAATGTAATTGAAGGACTAAGACAGCCGGGAAGAAAAGCTCTTAAACAAGGGGGCGTAAGGGGTCGCCGTACTGTCAGAAAGAGGAGAACAGGGAACAAGAAGGTTGAAGAGACACTTCCAGTCCACATGCCTGACATTCCTAGCAGCCCTGAGAGCGGAGGTGAATCCCCGAGAATTTTAGCTGAGGAATGGGATGACGACAATGTCAATGCAACCCCTACGAAGGATGATGATAACATTGTGGGTGAAGAAGAAGCAATGGAATCTGATGACAATGCTCAAGAAGAGGAATACGAACAAGAAAATTGGGAGGTTGGATATAATGGCGTCTCCAATAAGTGGAACGAAGGGCGGATGATGGAAGCGAGTGACGAGGATGTGGATGCTTATGATGAAGATGACAATGGTATGGAGGGGGTAGGAGATGGAGAGTCCGAGGGTGATGTGGATGTGAGTGAGGAGTCGGATGATATGCCAAACAGGATTGAGAATGATCAGGGCTCTGATTCAGAAGTTTCTGATGATTACAGTGACTGAACTATCAATTCAACAGCTTACCGGTGCATTAGTACTTGGTGCATGCCAGCCGCTTAAGATTTTGTTGAGCAGCCTCACTTTTTGCCAAATTCGTATTGGGGGAGTAGAAATAGAAAATCTCCCCCTTTTTGTCTCTCTATTTCTTTTTTTCTTTTTTCTAATTTTTGAGTTATATGGACTAAATTGAAACTGAGTAGAGAAATTAGAGGTACTAGGGATAAAGTGCACTTGTAATTCGTTAAGAACATAGGTATTGTATTAATCGTTTAATAGAAAATGTTTAATAAAAATTAAGCAAGTTATACATGGTTGATGCGTACGAATCTCGTATTATCTCTTATATTCGTTTTGAAAAAAGTTTTGAGGCATGAGGAACAAGTTACAGGAAGATACAAATAAAGCAATGTGCGATTTAATTGGTGTTTTGGCTTAAATCTGATCTTTTTTACTCCAGCCGTTATCAGTGGGGAAGATATGCATCTCACCAACCAAAAGAGAGAAAAAATGAGAAAAGGTTGAGACTGCCCTTTTATAATAGTTATCTTACCTCCTTAATTGTAACTGACCTTTCATTAAAATGGATTAATTTAAATAACTTAAATAAAAAAAGGTAATGTTGAACAAAGGGGACAACATAAATTTCACATTGTTAAAAGTCAATTCTAATAAAATTTCAAAAAAATTGGAAGAAGGTTGAAACTGTTGGAAAAAATGGCTTATTAAGCCATTTTAAAGGCCCATTTTGAGGCCCATGTTTGAAAGGGGCCCAATAGGTTTTGAGACGGGTCTCGATGGATTTGCGTTCTTCGTCACGAGGAGATCGAAATCAAGTATTCATACACTCAAAATGGATTTTGGGTGAATGAGAAATTGATGGTCTAAGTATGGTACTTGGAATGACATATGTAGAAGGAAAATTGCAAAAGTCCCACATTGGCTAGGAGTGAAGCCAATGAGGTGTTTATAACTGATTGCACTTTGAAACCTAAGTAAGCATGTATACCAGAGAGGCTCTCTCACGCGCAGGGGGGGGGTGCGAATCACGAGCCCGGCGGGTTTGGGGCCTAATGTGTGCGCCCGCGACCTGCGGACACGAATGCCGGACCAAAAAACCCGTGTAACACCCAGATTTTGGAGCCTATATAAAGGCCAAAACTCCACATGATAGGAACACACTTTCTCACAATTCTCTTCTCCTTTTTCGGTTCTCTCTCTCTCTTGGTTTGTTCCGGATTTTCTTGAGTAGTTCTTGTAGTTCGGTTTTGGTGATAGAGGAAAGATCAAGTTCTAGTTCGCCGGACGGTTTCGAAAGTGCATCGAGCTGCCGTCGTTGTCGTTGTATCCTGGGAGACGGACGTCCAACGTAACCTCAAGCACACGCCGGAGGGGACGAATCTGTTTTAAGGACAATGTGGTTCACGTGCCTCGACATTCATACAATTCCGTTTTCCGAATTCCATAGAAAGGTTGATTTCGGGTTGTAACAATTTTCATTATTTTGTTATTCCTTTATTTCCTGTTCTTCTTTGTATTTTCTATTATATTGTCTAACAATTATATTGTCTAACAGAAACTTTTCTCTTTATAGTTGTTATATTTTGGTTGAAGAGTAAGGTTTTGACATGGCGGTTTTTTTTCATGATCCGAGTATCTTAATTGAGTTAAAAGCTCAAATTGAGTTAAAATTGTAACTTAATTAAAATTGTAACTTAAATTTATGTTTAGATGTGTCTATTTGAGTTAAAATTTAAATTAAAAATTTAACTTAAATTTGTATTTAGTCTCATCAAAACTTAAATTGTGACTAGTAAAAAGTGAAGATGTAATTATTTTTGTTTAGAATTTATGCAAGGAAAAAATTTTCTAGTTTTGGTTTAAGTTCACCAAAAAGAACAGCAACTAGATTCAAGTTTGTTTTCATCTACTTTTTTCCTTTGCTGATTTTTTCATTTACTATTTGTTTGCATTTGCACAACCTTACAGGCCTACTTTACATAGTAAGAGTAATGTTGGAGAAACCAACTCAAATCCCAAGAGTAATGTTAAAGAAATTAACTCAAATTCCAATACTTGTGTTCTAATTAATGTAGCATGTAATTATTATTATTATTCTTATATTAGTAAGTTTGAAAACAGACATTTAAATTGGTATCTCTAACATTACTCAAACAGTAAATCCTGCTCTTAAAAAAAATGAAAAGAAATTGTCTCCAAAAGTTTCATAGAGGGTCACAACAAATGTGTGGCCCATAAAAAATTCAATGCAACCCATTTCCATTTCCATCTTTAAAAAAAAAAAAAAAAAAAAAAAAAAAAAAAAAAAAAAGAAAAAAAAAAAAAAAAAGCTATTCACCACTTCAGTTTCGGGTAAATAGGAGAAGAAGAAGAAAGCTATTCACCACTTCAGTTTCGGGTAAATTTGCCAAATTTTATTTCTCTAAACTACCAATGCACCAAGCCTTACATGACAAAGCAATGATACAACTTCAAGGCACCTCAAAAAGAATACTCACAAAGCATTCTCCATTCATAAACGCCCATTCTTCACCACAATCCAATCCAATTTAAGACGCCAAAAGCTTCTTAATTCCAGACTTCTGCTCAGAAGTTAACCTAGTTGGGAATTTGATGTTGAACTTGATCCTTAAATTGCCCCTTTTTGAGGGATCCTTTGGGATAGGCATACCTTCTTTTGGCACCACCTCCTCATAGTTTGGACGAATCACATTGTTGATGGGAATGGTCAGATTCCTACCGTCCAATGTGGTGAGCTGAACAGTATAGCCTGTTAGAGCTTCTGCAAGGGGTATTCTCTGAGTGACCACCAAGTCATTACCATCCCTTGTAAATGTGCTGTGTGGTTTCTCATCAATTATGAATACTAGATCTGCCGGTATTACGTTCGGTTGCTCGTGTCCTTTCTCCGGGAAGGTGATTTTTGTTCCCTTTTTCCAGCCAGGTTTCACTTCTATTGTTAAGATTTCTTCCACTGGCATGGCCTTCCTGCACGATAGTGAAATAGGTCAATATACCGTTTTCAATTGGATGTACAATGTGAAACTTGCTCAAAAAACTAGATATTGAAGAAGCCTAAAATCTTAAGAATTCAATAATGGCAGTAACACTATCAATTAACTAGGCATGATAAGTGTACGCATCAGCTATTGTCAACAATAAAACTAGAACAATATGAAAATAAATTTCCATCACTTCCTCTCCAACATTTTCCTTATTTGAAAGTTTGTTAACAATGACAGAAATTCAACAAGATGATCACTTAATTTCTTAACAAGATGATCGCACGATTATTGGTAGAGCAAAAGGTTCATTCAACAAGAAGTTGCAGCAATCAAATTAAATAGCAATAAAGCAATCGCTTCAAGGATTGTTCTGGAATAGCCTCTAGTTCTAATGGAACCATGATTTTCCATTATAGTAACCATCCTAACTGTCATACTTTTACCCCGTCATCGCTACAATCAGCAATAGTTTTCAGGTGAGCCATTAATTCAATTGATTTTATTAAGATCACCACCCAATGGTATAACAATGCGTGAACCTTAGGAAGTTCAAAATTCTTAACATCTTATTAAGAGTACAATTGAATCAATGCATCCATGATGTTAATGCATGTGCAGTATGAAACATAACTATACTTACCCACTTGCATCCATAATTTCTCTTGAAATCTTCATCTTTTTAGTAGTTCCCTTATAGAGCTCCTCCAAACTACATGGCAGTGTATTCTCTATTGGAGGAGCCTTGCGTGGAGCTTGACTCATTGGCCTACTTTCCCCAAACGAAGCAAATACGTCATTACCAAACATACCTCCAAAAGATCTCGCGTCCCTCATGCCAACACCTCCAGCCATTCCCCCGAATGGGCTTGAGTGCCCGAAAAACTCCGTGAAAATGTCATTGGCGTTTCTGGGGTTGAATCTAAACACGTTTGGACCATCCCCAGTTTGGAAAAAGGTAGCCCCACCAGGACCTCCAGCATCAGGGGGTGGCACTTGTCCTTTCAGACCTTCTTCGCCGTATTGATCATAGATTGCTCTCTTCTGAGGATCACTCAGAACCTACACAATCAAACGATCAGATATAGATAAAGTTCTAACTACCACATGACCCATTACGGATTAAAAGCCACAATTCGTACTAATCAAGAGCAATGCGCAAACAAAAAGAATAATAATAAATACACATAATTTTAGAGTGGTTCACCCTCAATGTAAGAGCTACGTCTATTTGTCTCTCAGAATGTCATTATAATGGAAAAGCACAAGGTACAATCCACTCTCAAAATTATATTATCTATATTTTTCTCTTTACAAAAGGTAAAAATTCCTCATATAAAGCATGAGAATCACGGCAAAACAAGATACATAATAGAATCGTGGTCGGCAAAAGAAGTATCAATTAATTAGACTCCACATAGCTCCACATAACCAACGTTCACAATTTGATTAAAAACCAATATTAGTGATTACTAGTTGTAATTAACATAAAGGGTCTTCATAAGTTAGTCTCAATAACTATACAATGACATAAATCAAACATAATCAGGATAATTCAACATTCAGACGAGAAATTTAAGTTTAGAAATAGAAGCGAAAAAAATAAAAAATAAAAAAATCCAACAAACAATATGAATTTGCAGAGATCACAATAGTTTCTAAGATCATGCTTATATATATAGAAAGATAAATAGAATTATAACTAACCTCGTAGGCCTCAGAGATTTGTTTGAACTTGTTCTCGGCTTCATTCTTGTTGTTGGGGTTCTTATCAGGGTGCCATTTCATGGCCAGCTTTCTGTACGCCTTCTTCAGATCCTCGTCCTTGGCGTTCTTGTCCACTTGCAAAATCTTGTAATAATCGACTCCCATGTTTTTTCTTCTTTTCTTCCTTCTCTGTTTCTGCTGCTAAAGCTCAAAGTAATAATATTGTATTTATGTATGGTTTATACTATAGTGTTTCTGTAAGGTGTGTGTATATATATATATATATGTGTGTGTGTGTGTGTGTGAGTAGTTCAGCTGGTTTGGTAGCGAATAATATGGGAGATATGAAGGAGAAGATTGGAAGGAATTAGAAAAGAAAAGAAGGATTTGTGTAGAAGGAAGAGGGAGTCAAAAGAAGGGACCAGAAGGGTGTGGAACCTTCCAGACAGACAAGTTCATACTGTCTTGTCTCCCCATGACCCTCCCCTCCTCCTGTCCGTATCTCTAAACTTGTTTCTTACACGTGGCGTCAACTTGTTTCTTATTAATTTTTAGCTTATTTGTGGTCTGATTTTATCCGTTTTAGTACTATTTTTATTTCTGATGTTTCTCGTATAAAAATATTATAAATATTTTGAATAAAAATAAAATTAAACAAAATCACACTGAAATAAAACAATAACACGAGATAATAAATAAAAAAAGTCGTCCATGATCACAACTCAAATAATTTTTGATTTGATATTTTAATTATTGTTATTTATCATACTTATTTATTAATTTTGAATTGATTTGTGGCTTGATTTTGTTTATTTTAGCACTGTTTTGAACTAAATTTTTAATACTCCTCAAATAAAAATACTATAAATAATTTGAAAAAAAGAAAATTAAACAAAAATATACTAAAAAAATAAAATAACACTAAATTAAATAAACAGTTAAACAAATAAAAAAGAGCTAATTTAAAACACAACAATAAGTTATAATTTATGTCTTTTTTTCTTCTTCTTTCTCTTTTTTTAAACAATTAAGTTGCGTTTGGTACAAGAATTTTAGAACCGGAACCATGATTATAGTTCAATCTTTTGTTTATTTGTAAAATGTAAACAATGGTTCTTGAAAATCAGTATTTGGTTTAGATGGTTCCCCTTTAAGGTTTGAACCTTAATGTGATGTTTTAAACCAGAACCACCGTAAAAAGTAAAACCATCCCCAGAACCATGTCAAACTACGAATCATGGTTTTGGTTCTAAAACTAAAATCATTTTAGTTTAAACCCTCGTACCAAATGTAACCTTAGTATAACTGCTATTTTAAGGTTGCGTTTGGTATGATGGTTCAAATCAAGGTAGTTTTAGTTTTAGAACTAGAACTATGATTTATGATTTGAACTTAGGGTTCAAACCATAGTTCTGGAACCGGAATTAGAACCGAGGTTTGAACCATCCAAAAACAAGGGGGAAGTAGTTTTCTTTTTTGGGTGGTTCTGGTTTCAAACATCATATCAGGATTCAAACATTGAACCAAAACCATCCAAACCAAACATTGATTTTCAAGAACTATTTTTTATTTTTTACTAACAAACAAAGATTTGAACCAGAATCATAATTCTGATTCTAAGATCCTCATACCAAACGTAACCTAATAAATATATCTGCGTGATTCAAAATAAGCTTTTGGCATTCTTTATTTCACTGATTCGAGTTTTACTATAATAAAAAGCTCTAAAAATAATCATATTTAATTTTTTTATTATAATAAAAAATTATCACATAAAGTCACTAAACGGGCTCTTTATATATTTTTTTATACTTGAGCTTGGAGAATTGACAAGTGGCATGTAATGGACGCAGGACCTCACCGTAATCCCACAAGGTCATTCTCTTGCTATCCTTACTCTGTCCACCCTCTTGCCTGGTTTTCACGTTTTGAAAATCCCAAATACTTTGGGTTCAGCTCGATCCTCTCAAACTCTCACTCTCTTCACGAGAAACACTCTATTTTACACCTAACCTCTCACTACCACACCATTTGTTGCTCAAAAGTCCAGAGCTTCATACCCAAAATCTCCTTTTATGCAGTTCCAGTAGAGCAAAAGTTGCTTCAGATTCGTCGTTCCCGATCAATGTCTGCGTTATCCTTACCTCTTCTCGCCCTCGCTCATGGATTGAAGCCCTCATTCCCTCCATTTTCAGCTCCCTTAAGGAAGGCAATAAGGAAGCTTCCGGTACTCCATAACGCCGGTCATGGAGCGAAGCCGGCGCGGGCCTCCGCCGGCGAAGCCGCGCCGGCGGGTGCCGGTGGG